CACAATTAGGTTAGCTTTTTAAAAATAGCTTCTTGTATATTACCCATAATAGGACAGTGTTTACATATTCTCTTTGGAAACTCTATTAGTTAAATTTAAAGGTGATGTGTGTTTATGGGATGGCTTGCTAAGTCACAGGACTTGTTCGTTACTGTCTCGGAAGTCAGTAACTCTTGCTATAAATATCCTGTCCTGGACACAATTCTGCATTCTTTATTCATGTACCTCGACTTTCTATATTTGTCTAAAAGACAGCTATTTTTAGGCTTGGAGAGCCTGCATTTCAATGAGAAGAAGCCTGGCACTACAGGACAATGCTACAGAATAGCATCAATCTTTGATTGATGAAAGTTCACTAGTCTTAAAATTTTCTATTCCATAATACAAATGCTTATATATAAAAACTAGCATTAAAACATAATGGAAATAATGAAATTGTCTTTTAAGTCCAAAATACAGGAGAGAACTGAGTTGTCACAGTTTTTAAAATCGTATCTATTTCTAATTTCTTAAATAATAAAATGAATATTGATATGGGTATGATTCATTGGCACATTACTTCAGCTTATCCTGGCAAAATTCAATTTGAATTGAGTGTAGTTACACAGAGGCATTGTGAAAAATCAGGCTCAAGACTTCAGACAAACATTCTCATATATGCAAAAATGTTTGCATTCAACGTGGAATTTTTTTTTTTCACTCACGAACACCCACGAAAAGTAAAGTTTAATTTTCCTCCGTATGTCTAGAGCAATAGTATCAGAAATCTACCTATCACAGCAAAGCAGCATGTATTGGAAAACCAAAAAAATATTACACGGTTTATATAAACTTAGCAGTATATCAGACTGAAATTATTTCTTTTTGGAAGCCATCATAATTTAAATCCAAAAAAAAAAGAATCAAAGTTGAAAAATATTGAGTAGCAAATAAAGGTAAACTAATCTGGGAATGGAGAGTTTATGTACTAAACTTACTATAAATTGTATGTTTTCATTGCTCTTGTTTTAATACTAAAATTTATTAATAAAAATCACATAGTCACAGTGCATATCCCATATACAGGAATAACAGTAGACACCCCACAATTAATTCTGATTAATAATTAATGCTGATTCAAGTCCCTGTTATTGAAACTCTGTCAATTACGCTTCCATGTGTTTTTCCCCATTTTAAAAGCCTACCCATTTTCAGGAAAAAGTACCCACTTTACACTGCATGACAACTCAAGTTTTCACTTAACGTACATTTTAAACTGGCGTAAAAAGAGGACTGGTTCTTAAATTTTAACTTTTTTCAGATATCTTGTTCTATCAGAAAACGGAATACGAAAGATTGACTGCCATGAATAAATAGATGGAAGATGTCAGAGGGAACATTTCCGTGTAATTTTACAAAAGCCAAACACAGCCAAAGACCAACATCCTGCTGAAATCAATGGCAAATCTCCCATCACCTTCCCTGGGGCTAGATTATCACCTACAGAGACCAGGGGATTTGCTCAGGCTCTGGATCCAGATCTCTGCGGTTCCACTTGTGTCTACCTAGAGGCTACACCCACTCTCATTGCTAAAACAAGCTCACCCGGTTAAAGGCATGGATTTTCCATTCCCACTTCCCCCAGGCTCACAGGCAGCAGACTGAGTGGGTGGCTTCATCCGGGTCAGCCTCACACCGGTCCTGCTTGTGTTGGCCTCCTGAGAAAGGTGTGTGCTAGTGTAAGTGCTAATGAATCCCAAAAGCTTTAATGCAAATAATGAAAAGTACTGGTGAAATGAATTTTTATAGTAATGATTCACATACTTGGGTTCTATTGCAAGGAAAAAAAATAAAACCCATTCATTAATAGAACAATTTCTAATTATATAAACATTTTTAAACTTGACTTTCAGATTTTTATTAGTGAAAGCTACAGTCTAGTAACACCAGAAGTTGAATCCCTTCAAAAAACGTGGAAAAAATATGTTCCATACTGTGAACTTCCCTCTGAATCTTTCATCTCCACAACCAATGGTGTTCTGCCCTTTTCCCCATCCTAGCATCCAGAGAAAGGTATTTCATTTCTAAGGGTTTCTAATTAAGGTGGTTTTTTGTTGTTGTTTCATTAATTCTTAGATGGGATTATTACCAACAGAAATAAATGCTATTTATTTTACAGAACCTGATCACAGTGATTATGTTTAATTCTTAAAAAGATATCAGGTATATTTGTGAATTTGTATATTTGTGAATACATTCAATAACAGTAGGAAATTCTTGACAAAATTTGAAGTAAAAGAATCAACTTTAGTCTTGCTATGCTTTCTGCAATGCAACAAAATTAATTCACTAGTAAGAGCCAGAGGAAAAATAAACTTCAAGTATACTTGCAATTTTTCACTTTGCATCAGAATTTTCTTGAGATCTTAGGGAAATAAAAAATAATGGAAAAACATTTTATTAAGACTATAAAGAAATGACATGATGGAAATAAACAACTTGAATGGAAGGAAGAATATGTAATTTTTCCCAAGCTGCTGGGGTCCAGTTACAGTATGTTTGGGGTAATATGTTGAAAAGTTGTCAACTCAAATGGATTGTCAGCTTCAAAGTCATTAATTACCATTAGGTCCCACGTCAGTCAAGAGCCAGTAGTGAACTACTGGCATTACTCTCATTTAGATGTTTCTACCATGTGTGTTTGTTCCTGCTCTGACTGAACCAGAACATCAGGTAAATCATAATGGACATTTCCTCTGACATCTGCCAATAAATCACCAAAGGGAGAGGGGACAGTCTTAGCCCCAAACGCCCCCAGAGGGAGGAATTGTTTATTAGCCAGTCAAGTCTAGAAGATGACCCTAATATAACAAAAGGCTTATACAAAATATAACATCCTAACGAACAGAGAAAAGAGCAGCGATTTCAGGATAGGATGCCCCAGGAGACCTCAGCAGGGAGACTGGCTGCCAGAGCTCTGCAAGGGGGGAGACGGGAGCAATTTCATCCCATGGATGGATGGCCCTCTCCTGGGAAGAGCTCTCTGTCGATGGCCCACAAGACACGCTGGTCCTCTCTGGGTTTTTGTTGCTTTGTTTACAACCAGTGGTGTAAAGCATTAAGAAGGACTACCCCACACTCATTTTATTAGGAACTGAAAACAAGACAACAGGATACGGGAAAGGGATTTTTTTTCTGAGAAAGTCTCTCAGCTTCATTTAAGCACAGCTTGGCTGTATTGCTCCCTTTCTCATCTATGTTCCTTATAAAAATGTATCTATCAGGGGTATTAATGAATAAATGCTTTTCATTTCCCTCTACCTTATCATTAACCATTAAATGGATAGTTACATGCCTTCAAGGTAAATGGATAATGACAAGACATTCCTCACTTGGAGACTGGCAAATCTATTAATGAAGACACCTGGGAAAACAAGTGGAATAGCTCCTCATCAGACCAGTATCTAAATCTAAAGAGTAACATTGCAAGCTTTTATTTCAAGTACACAGACCACGATGAAAAATTGTCTTTCAATGGCTGACACCAACCAAGAAGTATGTAGAAAGATACTGGTTGAATCCTTACAGTCACAGAAGCTATATCACAGGTGCCTATTATAAGATAAACTAAAATGCAAAAAAAAAAAAAAGTATTTATGGCCCTTTATTCCTTTCTTTCTCTTCTCTCTCATACAGTGTTCAGTGTTCTTTTTACCGAACACAATATGCAACTTATTTAGGACAAAAAAGCATTTTCTGCTGGTTGCAGCATTGGAAAGATCTTCAAGCATGTTTGATTCCAGCAATAATTCAGTAATCTAATCTTCATCTTACAAAAAGGTAGGCAACTGCACCAATAGCTACAACGGAGGGAGAATATGACTCCCTTATCACCAGGTCTTAATAGAGTTCTAAGGCACAGACATAATTTGGGCAATAATCTGCAAACTAATTAACTAACGAGCAATATCTGCCCTTCCTCAACATAGGCAACTCATCATTATCAGCTCTGCTATGTCACCCACAGCTTCGCCCTTCTGCAACAACCATCCCCATGGTGCAGAGACCAGGTCACAGCCAGCCAGCCAAGTGTCTAAACAGCCATCAAACAGCTATTTTTGAGCCAGACAGGTGCCAGGGAGCCACAGCAGGGAATGCCAGCAGCACGGAGTCACAACACTCCAGATCTCCTTCCCAGACATCACCACACTTCGCAGATACACTTAGCGTACAGGAGACCAGCACTGATACCCACCATGAAAGCCTTCCTGACAGCTTTGAGGAGCCCTCTACAACACTGACTCCTCACAGCCAAGAAAAGTGCTGCCAAGTTTCCCTAGTGTTTCCTCAAGCAGAAAAGGACAAACGAAGCCCATCACAAAAGCAGCTCTGGAGTGCTGGCAGTGATAAAAGAGCAAGGTCACCATTCCCCCTACCCTCTACCCCTTGGCAAGGCAGGATTCAGCGAGAACATGTAATTATTGGTCCTGGCAGTGCTACGTTCAGCACACATCGCTTTACAGTTCTCCCCAGGACGTTTATATAAGTTAAAAGAGTTTTTCTGACCACCTTTACATCCAGCCTTCTGAGCCTATGCACAATCTTGATAATGAATGGTCTGCTTTTCCAGTAAACACAGGACAGCTTCCACACTATAAGCATGTAAAGTCTCAAGTTCCTCTCATTTTCCCTAGTCTCTTCCTTACCTTCCCCTGTGGCATGACTTCTCTATGGTGGTTCTTGCTGAGGAGAACACCAAGCCCACGCTGACACGCAGTTCTAGCAGCTGGTGCTGGGACACTGATATTTTGCCACTGCACACCCATCACTGCAGCTCTTTATCCTTTTAAAGATTTTTCCACCTTCCCTGCCAAACAGTCTGGCATGTAATAATACATCCTTTGTAAATCACTGTTAATTGTATCTCCTGCTTTTAATGTAAAACTTTTCTCTCAGATAATCTACATCCATTTTAATTTACTGTTACATTTTCAGAAACAACTAAACCCATAAATCCTTACCTTAAATTTATCAACTTCTGCCTTCGAACATGTTGCATGGTAAGATAACACCTGCCCCAGAACAAAAGATAAAAAAAAATTTTTGTAGACTTGACAAGTAGAAATAATAAGGCTCTGTACTGCAGTTTAATCAATGATGTTTATAACAAATTTAATTAATATTTACGCATGGTAATTCAGTTCTGAATGTCAGCATATAACTAATTGCAGGTTATCAGGTACACATTTGGCATTTATGTTGCAGGGAATTTTATAGGGAATCATGGACAGTAAGTAATTTAATATTATACGCATTCCTACATTGTTCTCCTAGAGTTCTACAATTAAAAGGGAAAGAATTTAATGTAAAAATAACAGCAGATTTATAGACTTTAAATAATGCCTTTAATATACTATAAAGCTTTAATGCCTCTGCTAGTGGCACATCACTGCGTACAAATTAGCACCTCTATGCTATGCCTGACATGCTCTTCAATACCATTCTGGAGATGAAAGCATGAAACATAATGCACAAAGTACTGCACACCTCCCCTTATTACCTCTAAGATATCCTTATTTGATGACACTAACATTGAACAAGCACTCCAGAAGGTGCAAGAGCCATCCTGTGTACTGCACCTACTAAGCTCTGACTGTGTGTAGGACAAGGCACTGGTCCATGAGGGAGGTCCCAGAGCCAGAGCACTCTTAGCAAGGAGAAGTCCTCCTCACCATACTGCAACATCTGCTTACGTGCTAAAGCTTTGATATATATTTCTCATTTTGAAATTGTTCTCATCTGTGAATGTTTCTGCTAGTCATACAAATACCTAAACTCTATCTCAAGTGCCCTTGCCTTGCAATACATTGTGGCAGTAAGTCCCCAGACGTATTTACTCGTATCAATTTTAGAGGTGTCATCTTTTACAGTAACAGGAAATCATTCCTGCACTATGAAAGAACAAATAACAAACACCAATTTACTTTTTCTGTCCCACGTTTTACTTTCTGTAACTATACATCATGTCCTTCCTCAAATAGTATCTATTTTTCCGTCCAACCATATCACAGCTTCTCTCAGAAATCTGTAAAACTAGTAAAATTACTAGTAATCTGCTATGACAGATTACACTTAATTCCAAAATTCTCACCAATGGTCTCCTTTATCTGCGTAAATCCCTCTAGATTTTTACAATCTTTCTTGATTATTCTAATATTTTAATCATTTGCAAATTTTGCATGCTTAATATATAAAATAGTATTTAGCCTGGTTTTGAACCATATGGCATCCTACTGTCAAGCTTTCACAGAACCATAGAATCATATGCAGTTGGAAGGGACTTCTGGAGATCATCTAGTCCAACTTCCCTGACAGAGCGGGTCTACCCAGAGCACGTTGCACAGGAACTTGTCCAGGCGGGTTTTGAATGTCTCCAGAGGAGACTCCACCACCTCTCTGGGCAGTTCCAGTGCTCTACCACTCTCACAGTAAAGAAGTTCCTCCTCGTGTTGAGGTGGAACTTCTTATACTCAAGTTTGTGCCCATTTCCTCTTGTCCTGTCACTGGGCACCACTGAGAAAAGACCAGCCCCGTCCTCCTGACAACCCTCCCTTTAAGTATTTGTACGCATTAATTAGATCTCCCCTAAGCCTTCTCTTCTCAAGACTAAAAGGACCCAAGTCCCGCAGCCTCTCCTCGTAGGAGAGATGCTCCAGGCCCTTAATCATCTCTGTGGCCCTTTGCTGTACCCTCTCCAGCAGTTCCCTGTCCTTCTTGAACTGGGGAGCCCAGAACTGGACACAGTACTCCGGAAGGGGCCTTACCAGGGTAGAGTAGAGGCGCAGAATGACCTCCCTCGACCTGCTGGCCACGCTCTTTGATGCACCCCAGGATGCTATTTGCCTTCTCGGCCACAAGGGCCCATTGCTGGCTCATGGTCATCCTGTTGTCCACAAGAACTCCCAGGTCTTTCTCCTCAGAGCTGCTCTCCAGCAGGTCAGCCCCCAACCTGTACTGGTGCTTGTGGTTATTTCTCCCCAGGTGCAGCACCCTATACTTGCCCTTGTTAAATTTCATTAGGTTTCTCTCTGCCCAACTCTCCAGCCTGTCCAGGTCTCTCTGTATGGCGGCACAGCCTAATGGGTTGTCAGCCACCCCTCCTAGTTTTGTGTCATCAGCAAACTTGCTGAGGGTACATTCCATCCCTTCATCCAGGTCATTGATGAATATATTGAAGAGCACTGGATCCAGTACTGACCCCCGGGGAACACCACTTGTTACAGACTTCCAGCTGGATACTGTGCCACTAAACACAAACCTCTGAGCTCTGTCTTTCAGCCAGTTTTCAATCCACTTAACTGTCCATTCGTCTAACCCACACTTCCTAAGCTTAGCTTTGAGGATGCTGTGGGAGATGGCGACAAAAGACTTTCTCCATATTTACATTTTGGTCTTCTGTTTTTTAGCCAATCTTATGAGAATTCTATATGAAAAATGGTATCTGTATATCTGGATAAGAATCTTATTACAGTATATATCAAATTGATTTATTTTGCATCTGATATCAATGTGATTTTCAAATGCCACTCATTGCCATCCTAGCTAAATACATAAATACTAATAAAGTGTTCTATTACTGAGAAATGGATTAACAGCCCCTTCAGCAAATACCATTCTTTTGCTCGGTACTTTCCTGCTGTATCTTCAATCACTTTACACAAATATTATCATGGAGTTGTAGCTCATTTATAGAAAGAATTACTCTTCACTGAAGCATAGTGGCCATTTATCAAACCTATAATCTACATTCAAGCTATACAGCTATTAGTCTTTTTTAGATCAAACAAAGAACTTGTCATTTTAAGCCAAGAAATTAAAATTTCCTTCATTTCAGTAGTAAATAGCAAAATTCTGTGTTAACTTACATCCCTATGTATCTGAGTATGATATCTGGCACTCCTTGTTTTTCTTGCCAGGGGTACTCACTCTAAGGTGTAATATTGCACAAATATCTGGGGCATATGAGGGCTTACAGTAATTAATGACTATGTATAGAATAAGGAATCTTGCTGGAAGCCTGTAAAGGTGTTTTTAGCTTTTCCTCCTCAGTGAATACATATACAGGAATAAAAAAAAAATAGCCACTTATACTTAGAATGTTTTCTAACACGAACAGTCCTATTGACTTCAAAAAGGCTTAACATGCCTACGTGCTTTACCGGGTAGATACCCAATACATAGACAAGTATCTACAGCCCGGAAGAAACAAAAGAAGTCACACCACAGAATTGTTTAGGTTGGAAAAAACCTTTAAGATCATTAAGTCATCTTCATAGCAATCCAGTTTGGTTTGATTTTTTTTTTAATAGAGAAAAAGTCATGTGTCAATCAGGCCAACACTATTTTTGTGGTTCTTATTATAATTATGGGTACTGTAAAAACTCAAAGTTACACAGTTAAAGGTTGTGCACATCAGGGATAGCTAGATCATTTTCTTCTTTCATCACAGATGAAATTTAAAACAATACTGAAATCTTAGTGACATTACCTTTTCATCAGAGAACTGTTTTAAGTTTAATCAGTTTAATGCTTTTAAAACAATCTTAAATTTCATTCTTAATTATCATTTTAGTAGGAAAAACATTAATTTGTAAAGTTATCCTCAAAAATCCAAGCATTGTTCTCACCAAGATTATTTTTAATAATTATTCCCATTTTTAAATCTCCAGAATACAATAGAGAATAGTACTCTATTGTTGAATCAGCTTATAGAAGTTTAAATAATCATATTAGTTTTTTAAGTGTTGTGCATTTTAGAGTTTGTTTTATAGGAGCTGGTAGCTTTAGTTCTTCCTGAATGGGGGGAGGAGAGAGGCAGGCAGAAACAGGAAAAGAAACTCCTACAAAGGCAATGGGCAAAAAAAGAGAAAGCTTTCCATTCATTTAGCTACTCTATATGTGTTTTATAGAAAGATGTGATGTGTTGGAATGCCAGGACCTTGCATTATGTGTGGGCCTTGACTCACAGCAGAGCTTCTACTATCAGTTGTCCTGCTTTGACTTTATTCTAGCAAGACATATATCTGACAAGTCTTCAGCAGATGTTGCTTTTGATACTGAAAACCCTACGATGATGACCACTTTTTTCAATTTTTGTCCTGTTCACAGTATGTTTTACTTACATTTTGCAACACTAGAAAAACAACAAGAAGCTATCTAAAATATCAAATTCTAAGGAATTTTCAGTTACTGAAGGACACGAAAATGCATAATACCTACATTAATTCCTAAACTTACATCTTCAAAATTACTTAAGCTATGCATGAGCTCCACAGCTAAGTGTACCCTGAGAAAGCTTCCCTTCAGCATTGCTTTAATAAGACTGTTGTCTAAGGTGCAGAGATTGATATAGAAAATGATGCTAACTACAATAAATTCAGAAGCAATAGATTCCTTTACATATGACACTGAAAAGCAAGAAAAGGTTTCAGTAAGATGTACACATACGTCAAGAGCCACTGACTGTTTTGCCCAGGATTTCTTCACTTGGTCATACATAATGGTGTTGTTGATACCCAGGCCACAAAAAATAACAAAAGCCTAGAATTAAAAAGAGAAGAAAGTCCATTATAATTCAATTATAATACAAACACAAAGATGAATGCTGACTTAATCATGAAAAGGAATTGCATGGAAATATTAGGAATAATCATGCCTAGATGCGTTATCTTGAGAATGCAGGGAAGTCACTGGCCTGAACAAGATGAGAAAGATAATATGCAAGAAATTTGTTTTAGTAAGGATACAACCTTTTTAAGTGAGGACTTCTGAGAATTAATGTCAAACCACAAATATAGACAACATATTCTCCCCCTCCCTCCCTAAAGCTGCTGAATCTGAAATACCAAATCCTGCTGAAAAACTGTATTGGTACAAAATTGAATGACTCTTACTTCAAACAGTCGCTGGTCGGCATCATCAAAGGGTTTCCCATCAAGTCTGTTCAACACTTGAGCTACCCCTTTAGAAAGAGTTAATATGAATTATAATCTTCATTCATTAATTCGCATCGTAGAATATTTTATTCATTGGTAACATTTAAAACACATCTTTCAAACTGAAAAGTAAAACTCCTAATTTTATTCTGAAAATCATTAAATGGACATAAACATGTGAAAGTCTGATTGTTTTGATACCAGGACTTGATTTATTACTTTCAACTGTTATGCTTTACTAAGTAGAATATTGAAAATCTAAAAAATTACTTATAATGCTTTTCACAAAAGGTTAGATATGTCTTTTGAGCACTTTGCTAACAGCAATCATGTAAGTTGTCATAGCAAATTCTATTAGTAACTCCAAAATGCTCTATCAGTACCTTCATTCCTAAAATCTTAGTTCATTTAGCACCACCTGGGTATCTAAGCCCTTTTTTTTCTCATGACCAGTCCATAAATTTATTGAACTGATGAAAAAAAAAGTAATTTCCTTAAACCACTTGAAAAAGGAAAAGGTGTTCAAAGCTCTTGACTCTAGCTGAACTAAGTTCTACTGCAACATATAATTTCTATTTCATTTAGCTACAACATGCCCTTAGAAAAATGCTGTAAGAGCTATCAGCTGTCAAGGGGTTAGATTCTTTCTATTTCTTTAAGGTAATATGTCACTTCACAACAAACAATGAGTGATATTTTTTAAAGACTCAATCCCCACATCACCTCTGGTGAATAAGCTCCAAGACCCCGGTCCTGCGCGGCACCGAGTTCCTTCAGCAACACATAACTGATCTCAGCTCTCACTGACAGCCACAACACACAAGGTTGTAAGTCTTGCCCTGCTGGTTTAAATTGTTATTGCTTTGACTTGAATTCTTCTGTGGAAAGTTACTGAGGAATCTGGCACTGTTATTTACAAATGGCAGCCCTTCTTGTGCCAAAAGCAGGTAATAATGCAGGGCCAATTCCAGGTGTATCATAGCTGAGAAGCATCCTATCAAAGAAGCAATAAAACCCTGTCACGTCCTGATCCAGCAGAAATCACTGCCACAGGCAACTCTGACAGCTGCCACAGCCTCCCTGTACATCTTCCCTGACTGCGTAGTTTATCATTAAAGAGGAAAACGACCACTTTGTTGAACTGTAGAAACAGTTGCTTGAGTTGTGTACAATAAAAAGAGGCTCAAGAGAAGTATCAAAGCATATAAAACATTTTTCACTAAGATTGTTAGAATTTCTGCTGTCATCTCGTTAATCTTCAAGTTGCAATACAATATGTATAATTTAACAATGACACAATGGGAAAACTGAAAAAGTCCATACAGTATCCAAGTCAAAACATCCATTCTTGGATACTTAGCATGCATCCTAGGTACCGTAACTTCTTAACAATAGTCAGCTGGGAAAAAGAAGAAAAAGGAACATAGAATTAAAAAGAGAATTACATTTACATTACCACAAGAATGATGTGGCTATGAGGAAAGTCTTACCAATTATTTGGTGGTTGCTATTCCATATAGGAACACACAGAACAGACCTTATGTGAAAGCCAGAAATTTGGTCAGCCTAAAACACAGAAATGAGAGCTTCCATTAGCAGTAGGTATCTTTTGCAGCCTTTTACACATTCTAGAAATAGAAATGTCAAAGAGTAAGTTTACATTTACAAATGTCATTCCATATGGATCAGATCTCACTTAGGAAAAAATTTCTGCTGAAACCTCATTCACAGTAAGAGTAACCAAAAGTCACACAGATTATTCTAAAAATTGCTAAGGAAAATGCAAACATTGCCAGCTTTGTCACAGAAAACTTACAGTATTTGACTTTGATTTGGAATTTATGTCAAACTGCAATTGAAGCAATGTCCAGACAATTCCTGGATTACTGATACTGTTGGATTAGTAGAGACAACCTCTAATGAATAAGTGTGGCCTTAGAAATACTCTTCCCAATTGTCAAACAAATTGGATTTAGCAAAGCAATCCTAAAAGGGAGCTTATAGGAAATACGCATTTTCAGGAGAAAGGCAAGAGTAAGTAGGGAATTGTGCAGAAGTGCAAGCTAGGAAGAAAGGAAGGATGAGGTCAAACCAAAATTCGGGATTTCCTGTATAGGCTTAATTGGTCCTGTAGTTCTGAAGATAATTTTCTGCTTCATTGTTTTCTATCTTACATAGTATAGAACTTTGCAATTTACTATGTGTCACCCGTTCTCTCTTTTCTATGGTTAATAAGCTTTATCCTTTAGGGTCATTGCTGCAAAATCTGAAGAAAATAAAATATTTTCCCAAAAGAGATAAGAGAGTGGGAAGAGCCCACTCACAGGAGATCAGGAGATATTCTCTTACTAAAACTGCCAGTGCTACAGGCAATCTGTAAAAGAAGAAAAGTAAAAGACCAGCAATAATTAATATACTGGAGACAGGATGGGGTCACTGTGATCTCCTACTTGGCAAAAGACATAACTCAGGTTTTACTAGAGTACTGCTTATTTGTACGTACTCAGAACTCATCACTGAAATCGGCATGAAGTGCCACCCAAAATCCATAGGAATGGGAGAAAAATTGCCTCGGATATCTATCTTAAAATGAACTCAATGAAAACATTTTGGCATTTGATTCTCAGTGAATGAGCTGAAAATTGAGCATCAACATTTGAAAATGATATTTTCGAGTTCTGGGAGGAAAAAAGAGAGTGTTTTTAATAGAAGCAGAGAACAGAGTATCTGTTCACAACTACAAATGTACATTTGATTCTATCCAAGTCATAAGGGATAATATGTTCCTCTTACTATACTTGAATGTCTGTAGAAATAATTGATTTTAATAACTTAAAAATTAAATTTTCAGAGGATTCCACCAACAGAACGTAATTACTGCCCTTTGTATAAAGTGTTTTTTTTCTCTCTAGAAACTGGGCAGTGCCTTTAACTTGGAAAGGACTAACTGTGAAACAAATGAGAGATAGCTGAATTATTCAGGGCATGATATATTAAAAGTAAAACTGCAAACATCAAGGATTGGTACGCTTTATTTTAGCATATCTCTTTGGCAAGAAATAGACCCCAGGCATTGATTGTACTTTTTGAGATACTGAACAAATTAGCATCAACAAAGTTTTCTTGTACACTTTTACAGCATATCCCTTTTATTTTTCTTGTTTTGAAAAATTCTGCTGGTTTGAGAGATAATCCTTTTAATGACACATGGAATAAAACTGGAACCAAGCAAATTCAACATGAAACACTTCCAAGTACACTTACTGTAGTAACATAGTTTGGCAATCTTGCTGACCAAGACTGTCCACTGATTAATGTGCTGCCCAACTGCTGGCCAAGTTCCCTGTAGTAATACTGTTCCTCTGGATAGAATTCAATGAAGATTTTATCCTTCCATATGTCTCTAACATTTATTTAGGTGATAAGTATATACATATGCTTTTATCTGTATCTACACCTTCCTAACTGAGGCTGGAATGAACATCTTAGGATACACAAACAACTTTTATTAGGAGGATATGTATCTTGGAGAAATAACTAATCCACTGAGTATATTTTACTTGCGTAAATTAGTTACTTGGCTAAGTTAAATCACAAACAACTTTTGTCTCTCTAGATACTGGTTCTGTTTACACTCTGTGTACAGTTCCAGTCACCCCAACAGCTAACGACAATGGTATGGCTAACACTGAAAACCAACAGCAGAACTTTCAGCAATACTTTCAGCAATAATTATCAGTTTGCACCTTTGCACTTAATAGAGGAAGGTATCGCTTATGAATAGCAAAAAAAAAAAAAAAAGAAATCATGGACAGACTTAAGTAACTACCTGAAGTCATACACTAATTCAGTGACCTGTGTTTAATGTATAATGCCATGTCAACACCAGCAGATCAGAAGAAGAATTCAAAAAAGAATCAAAATCAATATTTACATTTTACAGGCACTTGGGTATAATGATTAAATTGTGTTATATTAGTTGCAATGCCAAAAAAAAAAAAAAAAAGGAATCATGGACAGACTTAAGTAACTACCTGAAGTCATACACTAATTCAGTGACCTGTGTTTAATGTATAATGCCATGTCAACACCAGCAGATCAGAAGAAGAATTCAAAAAAGAATCAAAATCAATATTTACATTTTACAGGCACTTGGGTATAATGATTAAATTGTGTTATATTAGTTGCAATGCCAAATATGTGATGTATATTTAGATTTTGAAAATTCTCTTACTTCAGCATCAAAGCGCGGATCCTGATAGGCATCACTGATGTTCACTGGGAGACCCGTGGAAGCTACAAGTTCAGCAATGCTATTATTTATTAGCCAGTCGGAATAGGATGATGATTTCTCCACACTGTCTTTGAAACTATCAAAAGGCATAACAACAGAAGAAAAGAATACAGTCAACTTTGCTTGAAAGCCCAGTATGTCTTACAGGCATATTCACATGAACAGTGGAACCATTCACAGTTATTAATGGTTACTAAGCATTATCTGTGGAACAATAATTTGGAATTTGTTGAAACAATACATCAAAAACTCTCTTTCACAAAATTCTATTTAAATTAGCATTGGTCTCTCAAGTAAAGTAAATACAGCATTTACTAATGAAATGCATTTATATATGAATCAAGAGTGGGATTGTGTTCTAAGTTTGTGTGGGATACAGGCCAGCTCAAAAGCAACCAGTTCTAAAGAATACTTTCTGTAGAGCTACCTGAAATCACATAATTTTAAGATTTTAATTTGTCAAATTAGTATAATAATTTGAGGTACTTTTAATTCATACTTCCAATAATTTTCCTATAAAAAGAAGCACCATTTTAAAAATTTTGGTCTGAAATGCCAGACCTGAATGCCTGGAGAAGGGATCATAAAATAAGTCTTAAAATTAATCATGTAAGTGTGTTGAAGTAGGTAGATCCAAGTAGACACACAATACATGAATGTTTCCTGTTTTTTCTTCCCCTGGTTGAGCTCCTGCCACGACTACTGAGGGGCTAGAGAGCCATCAGTCAATGAGCATAAGACACTATAATTATGGGCTCAACTCACCACACTTCAGCATGACTTCTCCAGAAAGTTCAGTATATACAGAGACCTTAAAATCCTCACCTTATACCTCATCTAATCAGTAGGAGAGTTCTCATTGACTTATTGCAGACAGGTTTTTGACATTGGCAAGGGGTAGCTATTAACATATGAATAAACATATGCTTTTTGTCTTAGTTTTGAGAAGAAAACTGATCAATTTCCAACACCCAGGAAACATTACTTAGAAAAAAGTAACTCTGAGCAGCCATGGAAAAGACTACAGTACCTTGAAGCTTCAAAATAATGCACATGAAAGAAAGAGGGATGCACAGTAAAATGCTCGGAAGACCCAATCAAAGTGAAAGGATTGATTTTTGTTGGCTTTATTGATTTTCTGGAGATGAATTCAACTAAATCACTCATTTGAAAGACAACTCAATATTCTTAAAAGACTATAAATAAAGATTATAATTATTCAGACAAATAAATATAACTATCAACTTTCATTTTGGATAAGAATTTTGAGTTACTGCAATAAATGTTATTGCGTATACTTTGATGGAATCTTTACAGAAAAATAATGATTTTTGAGCTAAGTAAAAATTTGCATTTGTAATTTAAAATTTATTTCAGGACATCAATATTTGAGAAGCATAAAAAAAATCTTTAAGGATAAGAATCTCATTTCAAATGCATAGCTCTCAGTTCATACCTTAAAAATCTAGATGATATCACCATTATAATACAAGACACTATGTCGGGACTGGATTACGGATTTCAAGCATTTTAAGCAGAAATTAATTCAAGTAAAAGAAACAAGATATAATTCAGGAAGAAGTTTTAGAAGCATGTTCTACTATGTTGTCTCCATTCCTAGCAAGTGCTTTACAACTACACTTTGGAAGAGAGGCACTCAACTTCCACTGGGAGGAAATATCAATAATTAATTCTGATGTAAATCACAGCCAGCTGGCTCTCTCTCCATCTTCAACATCTTAGTACACTCGGAAGCTACTCTAAAAATTACAAGCAACAATTTTCTCCAGACTGGGGAAAGCCGTGAGCGAGTCCTGCTGGACTGATGCAGGCAGCTGCGAGATACTGTCTCCCTGTCTTGCCCACACACTAGCAGGAGCACCACATGCCTGGCAGGAGAGTAAACCCAATCCAAGAGCCCCGAGCAGTGCTGCAGGCTCCCCTTATACAGCTGCTGGCTTTACTATCTTCCCCAAAGTCTCCCTGACAGGGATGGCAGAATGCACAGTAAGGAAATGGTACAGCCAAAATCAAAGGTACTTTCAATACTCTCTAAACATTGACATGAACCCTTCCAGCCCTTGCTAGGACTAGAAGGACAGTACAATGCCTTCAGAAGCATAATAATGCTGCAGGGAATGAGGTGATACCAGAATGCACATCATTCTGGTGGTGGAGTGGTGGAGCAACAGCGGCAGCAGGGATTTCAGCACTTTGTACCAGCCCAACTGAGAGGGGAACGCAGCCCACGCTCCAGCTCAGGCAGCTGGCCTTTCCACTGCCACTGGTACTCAGGTTAGAGAGCTGTAACCTCAGCTACGTCATCTGCCATGTGACTTCTCCTGTGCAGGAAAGATAGAGCACCTTCCCTGGGCTCATCTTCATCCAGAATACATCAGAACTGAACCCCTGAGGCTTTTAGGCTTTATATAATATTTTTTTCAAAGGAAGGAGAATTTAGGAGAATTCACAAACCCTTACTTCAAGAACAAAATGATTGGCAAAAAAAAAAAAAAAAAGGGGGGCATCAGTGTGCCATTATGAATAATAAACAAAATTGATTATGGTGTGTGCTGAAAAACTGCAAACTGAACAGATCAATGCAAGTGTGGTCTTGCAAGGTATTTCTTTACAATTAACATCAAAGAAAAAAGATATGAGTGTTCATTATAATATTTAGGGACTAAACAAGTGAACTGCTATTAGCCAGATGTAAGAAAGGCTAAAGAAAAGCCAGTTTCTTCTAAAACTGTGTGAGAAAGTAGGTTAAGACATGAGAAGTTATATTGTACTTGGAGCTTCTCTCTCTTTCAGATAAAACTTATAACTAGAATTGTTCTCAGCCTATAATCCCTTTGGATTTCCACTAAAATTTCAAAGAAATAATATTTATCTTCACTGGTGTAATGATGAAGAAACTCATTTTGCCTTTTTTTTTTTTTTTTCCACATGAAACGTCTCACAACTTTACATCAGTTACAGCTGCAAAATGTAGAACGAAAAGGGCAAAACTCACCAGAAAAATGCTCAAATGTCAAGGGCTCGCGGCATTGTTCTGTATCCTAAATAACCTTTATTTTCCCACTATAGTGCCAATAACTCAAGCTGTGCCTGTGCTAGATCCAAAAGTGACATCATATCTGCCAGTCTAACCTTGGTCTTTCTAAAACCAACTTTAGTCTCCACTAGACGAAAAATGAAAGAAAAAGCAATAAATCTTTATATTAAGATGCACAGAAATATACCTTTATAAATCTTGTAAAGACTAGCTACCAGGTTGCATGTGTTTCTTCATGTCTCACACTAAAGTTAAAATAATCTTGACTTGACTATATGCGGAGCAGGCTACTACAAATTGCTTTTTGGTAACATGCTAATATAACTATGGTAACAAGAAATGAGCCAGCTTGGTTATCTTGACACCACGCTACATTGTTTTGACTAATCTGGCTACAGATCAAGTTTGAGAAAAACAAGAATAACAACCACATCCCTTGATTCATACTCCTGTCCCTGAACAAAAGGAATGTATTTTCACCCATTTAATTGACCTAGGAAAGACCAGGTGCTATTCTGAAGCTCTTTGTCAAAACAGTAACTTGTAATTCCCTGATGGACAGCAGTTTATTTATCCATATTTAAACCTTCTTATTTTCTATCACTTGTTTTCCATTTGTCTCACCGTTCCCATCTCTCTACTAGTAGATAGGGCATGGAAGAGATATAGCTTCTGCCCATCTTTCTGTGTGGCCCTGGACTCTGCTGTCCAGCTTCCATGTCTTAAAAATACCATTACCCACTTTTGCAATGTTGTGAGGTCGATCCATGAAAAGCATTATGAATTATAACCCATTGCAATCTGGAGCACAATGTGATTATTCACCTTAATGAAGTGGTAGCTTCTTACCATACTAGAGGTGAAGAAACACAGACAGGAAGAAGGCAGATTACCCAAAAATATTTTTAAAAGCTGCTTAAAGGGCTTAAATACGGCAAAGCACAAAGTAACCTTCCAGTTTGCTAAGCTCTGGATAGCAAGTTTGCTAGGCAGCCATTTGATATGGGAAATTCAAATTCAGAATCAGTATGAACTGATTTGCATAAAATGTCTATGGTAATCACTGAGTTTGGACCCTGAAAAATGGGAGAAACTTTCTCACAATAGCCCTGACTCTTCATTGACCCGCTTGGTATGTAGGACATTTTATGTGAACTGTTACCAGTCGTACTATCTTGCAGGGATTAATACAGCAATCCCACGTGGACAAAAAGCTCTTTCTATTACTACTTACAATTAGCCCTTTATCAGTGTTTAAATACAGATCCTATTAAACAAAACATATACTTCCATTTTGACTGGGCTCCCAAACAAGATTTAGTCACAGGAAGACAATTTCTAGGAAATACATGTTTTCTGAGGTTTTAGGCTTTCCAACTTGATGACAAGAGCAGAAATAAAATTTTACTGGAAACCTTTCAACACAACTGTAAGGAGGCATTTTGGAAGAGATCAACAAACAATCTAAAATAATTTTGTAATTTTTACTTCAGTATTAACTACACAAAACACTATTTGTATGTTCTCCACAATTTCACCAATGAAAAGTCATCAATTATTCCCTGGTTTCTTCTCTGAGAAACTGGTACAATGTTAGCGTATATATACACACATATATGTAAAAAAAAAAGGCATGTATACTTATTCAACCAAGTCTGTTTGAAGCAAGCAGTAGTCTTGCCTGAGTAAAAACTGTACTCTTCAAAGTTCCGAAAGTTCCATAAGAAAATAAAACTATGATCAAGCAAATTTAAAACTGTGAAAAATGAAGAAATCCATTGCCATAGAAGACATGAACACTTACCAGTTGTCAGTATCAGCACTGCATTTTGGAGATAACAACTCAAAGGATTTAGTGAATTTCACCACCTGTTACAAAAACAAGTAACTTAAAATTGTTATTAAGATGAATAAATAAGTAATAAAAGAGTAATGTAAGATTCCTATATTTAAACCATATTTTTATCCAATGGTCTTAGAAGAAAAATTCAATCTGTATTCCCCAAATGAAGAACTCATGTTCAAAATACACGTTGTGTGCACAGTTCACAAAAACAATGGTATCTTTAGATTCCTTCATGAAACAATTTTCTGTAACAGTATATGCTTCCCTTCAAAGGGCTTTGAAACATGAATTATGGAGCTTTACCTAAACTTCACTCTTTTTAATATAGGAATATAAACAGAAAGACCCATTTGCACTATTAATCACAACAAATTTTCCTTGAAGATATAGGCCAACAGCACATAAGTGAAACATCTTAAGAGTGCCTAATATGACACAGAACCCAGGTAATGTTTTTGGACGCTAATACAAGTCCCCATCTTCTACTTCGGTTGTGTATTGTAAAAGCATTTCAGGCAGTGTACAAATTATGATATTTTAGACATGGCTTAACATTGAGTTACTCTATGGAGATCTATTTTGATATATAGGTTAGCGCTCCAAAACAGGGGGAAATCAGGAAAATACAATCAAGTGCATGGCAAGATACTATGCTCCTACTCAAAATTAACCTAAGATTTATGACTGTTTAGAAAAAGTTTAGGCTTAAGTGAATACACCTTGGCTGTCCACATTTAGACAATTTGGTCTAAAGGAATGACAACTCATTGCCTGTGTTTGGAAATAAACCGTCCATGCTCAAAGATAGAAATACTACCAAGAGCAGAAAAATGAAGTGAACAATGCCACCCACAGCCTGCTACTAACACAATGTACTGTTCTGTGACAAATAAAAATCATATTATACTTGCAAACATACTGGCATTTCATAAGAATGTAGTAGAACTGTATCTTGTAATTATAAAATCAGTGTGGGGGGTCTAGAAAGACAAAATAAACTAGAAACATTAAAATTCTGTAATAGAGAATATATAAACGAAATGCAAACCTTGATCTTGCTTTTATGAATACTAGTGTCATTTAGCACATACTCCACTGAAAATACTTAATTTCTATTAGTTTAAATGAAATGAGAATAATATCTTTCCTTCAGGAAAGAAAATAATGTTTTTTTTCTGCTATACACACGAACTTGTAATTCTGTCTCTGATAATCATTTAGATTTGTCACAGCTGTGCAACAAATAATCAATTACAGAAGTCAGTGAATCCAAAGATACTTGGATAGAAAAAGAAGAATGATATTACAAGCAACATTTTTATCCCTCAGCTACTTCTAAATCAGTAGAATGGAGGATAGTTTGTGTTGAATTGCCTGAAAACACTGAAGGGAGCTACCAGTATAAAGGCAGTCACTTATTTTACTACTAATAACAATAGTCATAAAAACCTTAAACATTTTTAAAGAAGCTCTCATACCTTATGAATGACAGTAATACCAAGCCCCAGTGAAAGCCCCTGATAAAACTGTGCATGAAATCCTGCTTTTGACAAATACTTTCATATAGCTTTTGTCCATCTGTTCAACTTAACCTCTGAAGTGGACGGAGCCATTGCAAAAAACATATTTAAGTACATGACAAGACATCTGTATGCAACATGTCTTTTCCAGTGGAACACCAAAGGGTGTTCCATACCACATGACATCGTGCTCAGTAATAAAAGCTGCATGAAGGAGGAGGAAGGGGGTAACTTTTAGAGTTAGGGCATTTGTCTGCCTAAGTAAATGTTACATGTGAGGAAGCCCTGCTTTCCTGGAAATTACAGAACAACTGCCTGCCAACTGGAAGTAGCATATGAATTCCTTATTTTGCTTTGCATGTGCACACAGCTTTGCTTTACCTACTGAATTGTCTTTAGTTCAACCCACAAGTTTTCACGCTTTTACCCTTCTGATTACATTCCCATCCCAACTGGGATGGGGAAATAAGTGAGTGGTTGTGTAGGGCTTAACTGCCTAACTGCGGTTTAGACCACAACAGTGGTGTTGATAAAGATTAAACCTGTACCTACTTTACATTTAAGAATGACGTGCTGGAAGAATACTTGTTGTCCAGTATTCATATATGATATGAAACAACTTCACCACAATAAACGCAGCTGCTCCACCACTAAAATATTAGCCTTTCCACAGAACCTGCAGCCATACTTACTGGTGATTCAATATCTTCCAGAAGTAACACTGAGCACCGTTCACACTTCAGCAGAGTCTGAGCCCGATGCATAATTTTCTTGACAATTTTCTCTAAATCAGTTTGTTCCTCAAAGAGGTCATTCACTACCTCCAGTAAAGCCTGCGTACAAAGACAAAAAACTCTTGTATTAGTTGTAGCATTAATAAATACATGGAGCACTGCAAAGGAGGCATAATCTCTAGGGCTGATTTTAATGAGTGATCCATTGAAATCTTAATTCAAATCAAGTTCTTAGTGATTATGGCAACAAAATTGGGGTGGGGGTATCTGAAGAAAGAAGTTAATTATTTCTTAGCTCAGAACTGGGCACAATCCAACTCCTAGCAAACAATGGGGATCTTTCTAACTATTTCACTGTGGTCCAAAAATGAAACAATGGCTGTAATGTAACTCTCCAAGTACACAGTATGGATTGAGTTACTTGATTTGTTATATTGAATTTTCTGGTGCATTTATACTCCATTTTATTCATTTATTACCCATTTTGCATGTTCAAAGCTGGAAAGAAAAAAAACACATCAATACTTCCATATTGAAATAGCACTCTGATCTAGTGTTTACCACTAACAACATGTCTGTAAAATACATTGTTTTAAAATGAAGGACTTCCCCTCTCATTTCATCAACTTTAAAAATAATAGGCCATATTCTTTTTTACCATGGGTCCAAAGAAGCATGCTTTTTCTTTTATTCTGGTCTAGGGCACCAACACTAAAGAACATCCATGTAGGTAAGCATATAAACGTTAGTGGTCTTAGCTTTCTTAACACAGTGGTCATCAGCAAAATGTTGGTCACAATCACTGGAAGTTGCCACCATTAGTGTCCAGTTTGATAGGGAAGGCAAAGTATGGGCTTGTTTATCATGTGTTGCTTGCCAACTAATTTCAACCATGGAACATGCAAAGCTAAAGACCACCAACAGGTCAGAAATGCAGTTAAGTACAGGCCCCCATGTAGTTGCCAAATGGCAATGATATTTGTTATTTCTCACATGGCTGAAGTGGTAACAAGAAACAAAGAATTTGTACCTCTAATTCAATATCCTGATGTGTCCAACCACCAGAATTTATCATTTTTTAATGAAGAATGTCCCTAATACTTTTCTGCTGAATGCCTCCCTCAGAAGATTAAATGCCAGCTCCTCAAAAGTCTGTCATTGTTCCCTGCAGGCTGGGAATCTGCAGCAAATTTTAAGTCTCTATGTAGACAAACAATTATTTTGTTTGAACATCAAACAAAGAAAAAAATCTTTGGCAGAAAAATCTTTTTTCCCCCCCACAAGTGTCCTCCACATCTCCACCCCAAAATATAGTGGTCTGCAGTCAGACCTGGACAGAAGACAAGCTGAGATGCTTCATAACTCTTAACTGTATATACCATTAGAAAGGGCGATTGTTAAGTTTTCAAAATATTGGAAAGCATTAGTTTCCATACATGAAAATCACCAAAATTCTGGATACACAAATGTCAGTACTTCCACAGACCTACCTCACTGTATTTTCCCCTGCTCTGTGAAGCAAGAGTAGGTTCAACACTACCAGTGGTATTTCTACTGAAGCTTTGGAGTTGTGATCCATGATAACAAAATTATGATTTCCTGCCATTGCAGGAATGGTGATTTAAAAAAAAAAAGCAGCCAACAATTATCAACCCCCTCAAAACTACCATTTTATTTCTTAAAAAAATAAAGACCTCTCCAAGAAGTAAATGATATGTGAGGTCAGAATTCTTTTCACTTCTTTGGAGCCTCCTGTCCCAACTCATGCATGGCATCAGCAATCATGAGTAATGTGAGTAATATATCTATGCAGACGCATGCTGTCAAAACCCTTCACATACAGGTTTTCTTCTCGCTTACTTTCATAAAGATATATCCACATTATTTGCACATGAATTGAATATTACAAATTCAGGACGGCAAATGTTTGATATTGCTTGAATTTTATGAGAGCTTGAATCTCTGCCAAAGAAACACTCTCTCCTGCACCGTCTGCGTGACAAACGCAATTGTTTCAGCGCTACGAAACATGGAACTGACATCAGGAAACAACAGCCACCACCATGAGCATATTTCCCTCCCACGCTCTCTGCTTGTTGCTTCAGTCAAGATAGTGATCTGTTAAAAATGCATTTTTTTTTAAATTTAGACATAGTTTTATGCATAGCTGGAATCTGGAGGAACAAAAGACAAAGGTTTGATATTGGTTTAATATATCTTTTTTACTTACCCTGCTTCTGTCATATTCCTTCCTTGAAGCTGCAAATAACTGGGCATTGGATATGGCAATCCCACAGAATGGCAGATACATCTGCATCACCTAGTATCAAAAGAAACTCCTGGTTATTAAAATCAACTGCAATTAGACACTCATGTTACTAGCAAAGAGACCTAAACTTATGTGACGTGTCCCAGGAGGGTCTCGGCTCACTCACTTCTCAGCAGAACACTGAACACAAAACAAAATCATCATGGGCAAAGCACATAAAATGGGTGGAACAGAGATCGAATGGGTAGGAAAGAACAAATGCATTTGAGTTCACAGGTCCCAGCAGTGAGGGTCCTCTAGAACTTGTCTACAAAACAGCAGATTCTAAAAAATTTCTGCTGAAGACTATATTATATTACTACAGACACCACAGCTTCCCTAGAACAACTATTCATTATTTTTCTGGATTGTTTTTTTTTTTGTTCTGAGATCGAGAAGTCACATTCCTGCTGATTTCTAGAGGATCTAGATTTTGGAGAATCCCAGCACAGTGGAACAAAGCACATTGATCCAAAACTACCAGTCATAAAGCCAATTATGTTCTTAATGAAATAAAATAAATTAAAAAACAAAAGGAAGGTTAAAGAACATACTTGAGAAAATGGGCCTTAATACATCACCATACATGAAGAAAGACTGGACAGGAGGGACTGGGAAAATATTTTGAGGCGCACAAGACTACTTTAGGCTGGCTCTGCATGAAATGAATAAACTAAACTAGTCAATTACTTAAATACCTGTAGGACTGGCACTTTCACAAGGATGACAGCGTATTGAAGTCCAGTAACAACAGCATTTTTAAGCCACATACTGCTAACAAGCCTGTAACAAACTGCCACTGATGAGTGGTTCCCAAGCTTAGGCCTGAGACATTAAGTAAATTTTATAGGTGCTGAATAGCCTTAACATTTGCAAAGCCAGTGAGAGTTGGGGCACTCTGCTGTTTACAGAGCCAAAAGAATGCTGCAGCAGCTAACATTTCTTTTCCCCGGTCTGTCAACTGGGAGATCCACTGTAAGCAATTCTTTCTGTGACAAGTTTTGGCATTGAGGAAGTGGCAATTGTCTTTGAAATTCCATTTAATAAGAAAATTACTGCTAAGTCAGGGAAGCAGGCTATTGAGACTATTTGAGGGGAAAAAAACCAAGAATTGTAAGCATCCAGAAAAACCAAAACATCAGCAACTGCTGTTCTACTTTACCTTCCTTAAACACTCCAATGTCTGCTCTACATATCTACTTAGTCTGTGTTTGAGTAATGCTAAGTTTTCAAAAAGGATCTTCAAATTCCCTGAATTTTAAACCTTCACAGCTGCAGAATAACTGTAGATTTTAAGGGTGCACACAAATACACCTATACTGTAATTTGCAAACACTTCATTTTTGTCCTGTTTCTATCATTGTTCCCTCTGAAGGAAAATGACATACTTCAGACTCTACAAACACTCATCATTTTGGAGAGGCAGTAATTAAACTAGCCAACTATCACACCAGATCTCCATGAAAGAATGTACAAAATGAAAAAATAAAGTACGACTGACAAATTGCAAAGAGGGGTTCATTTTTATTATTTTTGTAAGAACTTATCTGAGAGAATTTTGCATATTGCAGTTTAGGTTTTATTTCCAAAATTAAACAAAAACCCTATCTATATTTTCTTGTAATACTAAATACCACTGTCAGGTAGGAGATGCAAAGCAGAAAAACTTTAACCTGAGAACCATCCGACCTTTATGAATATATGACCAATTATGAATATTATAGTAAGACTGGATACATTTTCACTTAGTAAAAATAAGTACAAGTATTTATTGCCCCCACATTGGAACCTCTATTCCCACAAGTTTATGAACCTTCAGCCATCACAAAAACAGCTAGCAAAGATGTCTTTTTTCGCAAGAAGAAAGTAAGGTTTTGCAACATTGAAAAACACTGCTCTCTAGAACCCAAACACCAAGGCTCTGATTCTATATAGAAATTAACATCCATAAAACATTGGTTTATGAAAAGTCAAGCGTCTGGAAAGCTGCCAACTTACATCATTATTTTCACCACTCAAACTAATTGCGTAAGGTGCAGTGCAACTAAGAAAGAGACACCAAGCTGTTTAAGATAATCAGTAGAAGAAATTAATAAATGTCTACAGCTATGAAGAAGAAAAAATAAAAACCCAACCATCAGGTAGAGAGGAACCACTCTAACAGAAGATAAATCAATGATCCCCTGTTTACCTAAGAACAACTGACAAAACAAAAGCCTACTGTCGCTCCTCTTTTGTCTTTCTGAACGGTAACAGTGACTGCTGCCTAAACCGCTTTGGCAAATTTGAAGCTAAATGCAGTACATGTAGAAGAAAATTTCCTTCCACATCTATTTTGAAGCAATGACAGGGAAAAAGCCTGCAGATTTATTAAACAAAGAAATTTCCTAAGAAAGGAAATACACAGAATATAAAAACAACAAAAACATAGGTTTAACTGAGATATACCTCATTAATTTATTTTGGCAAATAAGATCAGTTGTAATGATTCATCACAGTACTTTGTGGCATATTAAAAAACAAATCAGTAAATATGTAATAGCATATTTGATAAAAATGATGTTCAGTCTGAGTAATAAGCTAATCTAATAAACCTGCTGAGAGGTTGGAAAAGACTAGTTGGTTTTTTTTCATGCCAACTAGAAGGCATTCAGATACAATAACTGCAGGTTAATGAGATCATATTATGAATTGCCTGAGCATTCAGGGTACAGGTAATCTGAATCAGTTTCTCATAGGTAACCCTCCAACAAGTAGCAACTACACTCACCTCATAAATCCACAGCAGCCTACAGAAGCTAAGAAGCTGTGCTCACAAACAGTTCAATATTTTATCAGGGCAGGAAACCTTCTATGAAAAGATGATGATGTAATGGGCACCGGTTCAATACCTCACCCTCTTTATTTCTAAATTCTATTATTTCATTATGAAATTATTTGCTATTAGGAGTATTAAAACACAACTACCAAGGGAATGAACAGGTTAAGTAGTAGAAGCTTTAACATTCAATTATGCAACCACTTACATTTTCAGCTAGGTCCTGGAGATGACATATCTTTTCTGCAAAACTACACCAGTAAGAGCAAATGACTGCCCTGACTACAGGTACTTTTCCCCTTCCACAGAATGATATATTCCCATTGTGTTAGTATCTCCACACATCTCCAAACTCATATGTCCAAAGTCAGACTTTCAAAGCCACAGCAAGAACTGAAGCAGTAGCTTGATATTTGGAAGTACAAAGCCTTCCTAAATTCTGCAATATTAGATGCTAGGCCAAGAAAGCTGCAACTTGTGCTTGTTTCATTGTGGTTTTTTTATGGCATCAGTTCTGAAATCAAGATGAAGCACACCAGTCCTTCCTCGTATTTTCATAGGACAGTCTTCCATATGTTTCTGCTTCATAGCAGAATAGGTGAAATAGCTGAATAGGTGAAAAGTTCTATACCTGGTTGCATAGTTGTCTGGGCACATCTGCATTTGTACACCTAACACTGCAGCATCACAATGTCTTGAGATAAAACACACTTTTCTTTCTTCTGGCTTTTCATAGATGCTGAGACATCAGAATACCTAAGTTAATGGGATGCTTATCAGTATTCCTCTGAACTGCTAAAAATAAGGGTTTCTCTCAGGATCTGGGCTTGGTTTTCACAATAACTGCCTACATGATATAATTTTTTTTACCATCAGAAACAGCCAGGAGATGACCTCTGGCCAAGCTCTTTCTGACATCTCTCTTTCAGGAGATAACACCTTTCCTTTCATCACACAGCCTGGGAATGATGGTCCTAACAGAGCCAAGAAAAGCCCCTCCTGGATCGAACTCGAAAGAAGGCCATTTTCTAGAATTTGGTGTCTCATATGAAATAAGTTTTGAAAATTTGTCTTCATGAGAAGAAGGTATTAAGCCCTTTAGTTTCCTAGCTGCCGCTTTTTTTTTTTTTTATGACCAGTAACGATATAGACAACGAAGCTGCACGCATGCAGACCTGCAATGCAGAAAGTTATTAGCTAATCATGAAAAACAGCCAGTGCTGCAATGGCAGCACACTGCAGAGGTGAAATGCTAGCTTCACGCTTGCTGGCTGGAAAGCAGCCCTGAGTTCAGCTTCAGCTAAACGCAATGACATTTACCCTGCCTCCCCCGCATGCGGCTTCACCCGCACTAAGCATCCTCAGAGAGCACCCGCTGCCATAACTATCTGATGGATATAGTCTAACTCATGGCTTCTGACGTACTCCAAGCAGCCCCCTTGCCTGCGGTCAAAAAAGAAAACGATTTTGATGTCTGATGGAAGAAAGAAGCTTCTCTGTAAGGCTTGCGTACTCCATCTGGCACAAACTCCAGGTTAAGCTCTCAGCAAATGCTTGTCTGGTTCAACTGTTTTCTTTAGCACCCACTGTTAACTTCTCTTTACACAGCTTGCTTGGTAAGCCTGTGGGGGAAGGGGGGTAGTACAGGCTTCCTAGAAAGAGAAAAAAATCCTTTTAAAGTAAATGTTTTTGCTATAGTTTTAAGGTATAAATATTTTGTGGGCATGCTTAAAATCAAGTCAGGGAAGCCAGCTGCCCTTTGAAACACTTCCTAAAGTGTTAAAAATAATCTCAGAGAATGAAATATTCTACTGAATTCTGAAAACAATAAACCAGAATCAACAGCTAAATAATTAAGCACAACATTCATCCAAACTCCATTACCTTCTGCCAGCAGTGCAGCGTCTGGCTATCTGCACCTCTGATAAAATCTGATTGTCACCTAGGTTTGCAATTCTCAGAAATATTTTACAAAATTATTTTTCCACCCTACAGACAGAAAAATTGCTTGGTGGAGACACCCTATGAATTATGGGCATACAGATAGGGCACAGCACTCTTGGTTATATCAGTGAACCTGCAGAGGATCCTGGGTCAATTTTCTATTGTGTCTTTTTTTTTTAAAAAGTTTCTGCTTGGATGTGGTTATTTATGCAGTATCACAAAAATCCCCTAATGCTCACAGACGTATGGC